CCTCCGCCTCCTCATCCGCCTACGCCTACGCCTCAGCCTCAGCCTCCTCCTCCTCCTCCTCTTCCTCCTCCTCCTCCTCCTCCTCCTCCATTCCCTCTTCCTCGTCCTCCTCCTCCTCATCCTCCCCCTCCATTCCCTCTTCTTCCTCGTCCTCCTCCTCCTCCTCCTCCTCCTCCTTCTCCTCCTCCTCCTCTTCCTCCTCCTCGTCGTCGTCGTCGTCATGCTTCTGGGTCGGCGGCACCAGCCGTAAGGCCTTCACAATCTTCTTCTGATTCTGGAGGTCTCCAGTGGTCTTCGGGATATGTAACACAATTCTAACAAGGGTGGAGTCGGAAGAGGGGCAGACGGCGCCTAGAAGCGATGAGCATGAGGCGGTGAAGGCGCCCCGAGCCCCCGAGAACACCGTAACTCCTTCAAGGGCTTACTCATACCGCCCAGAGGCCACCGAAGCACTTCTCCGTTTTGCCTCCCTCCTCGTTCTCAACTCCTGGTCGGGTTCCTGTGCGGGGGGGGCGTCGGGGCGGGGTCCCCGCAGGGTGCCATCGGCCTCGCCCCGCCCCCGCCCCCACCATCCTCCTCCCCACTCGATCCTCCACTTCCTCAGTAAGTCCACTCCTCCTTTCCTTCGGGATCCCGAGAACAGTTTCCTCGTGAACCGGTGGATGTCCTCCAGGCTTAGCGCCCCAAAGAAACCAGAGGACTCCTGGGAACCCTAAAGATGTCAAACGGACTCCCAAGGAATGCCTGGGTACTCCAACTTGGCTTCCAAAAATATGATGTCGTCTGGAAAACCGTCTTGGGGATCCCGCGGGATGCTAAGACACCCAACGGGTTCCCTCAGGGAACCTCTGGAGTTTCTACAGCGTCCTCTGACGACACCCAGAAATCCGAAAGACCCTGCGATCTTCCAAACGGCCCCAACACACACACACACACACACACACACACACACACACATACACACATACACACATACACACATACACACATACACACACAGAGGGATGTCGCCAGGAATCCGGTAGATATCTGACAGAAACCCGGGGTGTACCGAATTGGTGGACTGATGCGGAGAGGAGTATGGAGGGGGAGGATGGGGGAGAAGGAAGGAAGGAGACGTGGGGCGCTCTCTTCAAAACGAGGACCAAACACAACAGGATGGCTGGGAGAAAGGAAAGGGAAAAGGAGGAGGAGGAGCATGAGGGGAAGGGGATGGGGGGGCAAGGGTCGCAGAGGGAGGGGGAGAGAGAGCTTTGAGGAGGAGGAGAAGCAGGAGGCAGCCCATGGCCTTCATCAGCAGCTGGAAATAGCGTTCCGCGCGGTTCTTCGGCGGCTGCTTCGCCTCGGGTTTCGCCGCCTCGCTGGCGAGCTGCGGAAGGGATCCGGGTGCGCGGCCGCGGCTGCCGAAGCCCATCCGCTCGAGCTCCTGACCCCGAAGACGGTTCCACCTCGTACTGTTGCTGCGGGTTTGGGGCCTCCTCCTCTTCCTACTCCTCTGCCTCTTCCTCCACCATGGCCACCATGGCCACCCCATACCCCTCCTCGCCTTCCGCGCCACATACTTGTTCTCCTCGTTTCCTCTGGCGCCCTGCACTCACTCATCCAACCCCTCCCCCTACTCGTCCTCCCTCTCTGTTTCCTGTTCGCGCCCCTCCTGATCCTTTTGTGCCGCCGCCGCCTCCTGCTCTGCCTCTGCTTCCTCCTCCGCCTCCTCATGTTGATTATCGCCCTCCCTTTTTCCTCGTCCTCCTTCTCCTTCTCCTCCTCCTCCTCCTCATCATCATCATCATCACATCATCAGCAGCATCATCATCTGTTCTGTTCTGTCCCCACCGCTCGGATCCCGAGATCCGTTTGCGCCTGATGGTCACACAACGGGAGGCGCGCTAAGCCCCCCTCCTCTGACTCCCTCGCCGTGTCGCGCGCGGAACGCCGCACGGCGCGCCTCGCGCCTCTGGCAGGGCGTCACTGCCGCCACGCGCCGTCGCCCATCCATGTCGACGACGGCGCCCGGCTCACGACGGCCTGACCCCCACGGGCGCCCACGGCAAGAACAAGCAGCCCAAGGTGCTCGGCGTAGTATCCAGCGCTTGGGCCGCTTTCACGTGCAGCTTCCAATGCTTGAGCCGGTCACGTCTCGAACCTTCTCGCTCGTCGCGCTGCCCGTCTTTGAGC